GGTGGGGCCAGCCCAGGAGGCCGCGGGCTGACGGCCGCGGACGCCGCCAGGGCGGGGCTGAGGCGCGTGAGTTGCCCCCTCTGCAGCACCGTCTGCTGCATGTGTCCTCGGCACGGGGCCTGCAGGGACACACGCTTGCACAAGCCCACGAGCAGACAGCTCCAGGCTCAGCGCCGGAACGGGTGGGGGCGTGGCCAGGACAGTGGGCGTGGCCAGGACAGTGGGCGTGGCCAGGACAGGTGGGGGCGTGGCTGTGCTTCCTGCGACCCCCTGAGCACATCCTTATTTCAGGCCCAGAGACAACAGGGGTGCTGCTTGCCCACCTTCCCCGGGCCGGGACGGGGGGACGGGGTCTGTCAGCTGAGCTACACTGGCAGGAGAATCCAGGGCACCTTGAAAAGCGCGAATCTGAAGACCCTTAAATGCAGGTCCTGGCAGAGGCACGCCCTATGAGCAGCAGGGCTGGGCAGGCAGCCGAGGGGCTCCTTCTCACCGAGTCAGAACCGCCTCAGCAGCGAAACTGAGGTGCCTCAAGTGCACCCCCAGGGCCCGGTGCCTCCAGGCCTTGCTTTCACTGAAGAGCATGGGTCTCGCCCCCATTTGTCCTTCCCATTAAACTTCCCCCCATTTATTTCCCTTTGTGCTTCCTTGCAGGACACGTCCCCGCCTGCTGGAGATCGAGGGCCTCAGGACACGCCTGGGGCACGGCGGGCGCCTCCGCCCTGCGCCCCAGGCTGGACCTCGGCCCCTGCCAGCCCCCAGCCCCGGGGCAGGGATCTTGGCGGAGAATCGCTTGAGTCCCGATTGCCTGAGCCCCACCTGCCGCCCCCCGGGGGGCAAGGTTCTCTGGGCCCCAAAGCCTGTGTTTCCCCTGAGGCCCAGGAGCCGCCGTCTGAGTCCACCAGGTCCCCCAGCTGCGGCCCCGGGGCCCCTTGCACCGCCATGCAGGCTCCCGGCGCCCCGGAACCCCCGCACCATGGCGGGGCAGAGGCAGGGGCACTCACGCAAGGATCCCCACTTGGGGAAGCTTCCGCTCCGGGCGCGCCCCCGGCTCCATCGCCCGGGAGACCACCTCCTGGGCCAGGAGTGTCGGGCTCGGGCCCACCGGGGCCAGCGGGGAACGTCCCCCCAGAGCCGCCAGCTCCCGGGCCAGGCCCTGCCGCGTCCAGGCAGGAGGGAGGGGGGCGCCAGGCTTTCTCAACCCCCGGGGGGACGCGGGTGTGTGGGCGAGTGGCCGTCCCCTGCCTGCCTTCGGGATGTGACTGCGGGGGTCCTCGGGGGCCAGGGCCAGCGGAGCCCTCTGACCCTGGGCAGCCCTCCGGGTCGCCTGAAGTCCTCTCAAGAACCGTCAAGAAGAGGAGTTTGGAAGGGATGAGGAGGCAGACGCGAGTGGAGGTCAGTGACACCAGCAGCGACGACGAGGACCGGCTGGTCATAGAAATCTGAGGCGGGTGGGGGCGGCGCCCCCGTAAAGGCCCGGTGGGTGCAGTCCTTCCAGGACCTCCCGACTCAGCCTCACCTGTCCCCACTGCTCCTCGGCCCCCGCGGGTGTTTTGGGGCCACGTCCAGCGATCTCAGCGTGGGACCGTGGCCTGCTGCGCCGGCCTTCTGTCTCGGCTCCCAGTGCCGCCTCCAGCCAGCGGCGTCCACCGAGACGACACCTGAGCCGTCGGCGGGCGGGGGCCGTCCAGCGGGCCTGCCGGGTGCCAGGGGCGGGTGATGGGCATGGAGGGCCAGCCTGGGGACGCGCGGCCCGTGCAAGCCCCGGGGCTCCCAGATGGCTCCTCCTCGCTGGTGGAGGTGTGAGTTGACTGGACAGCCCCGCCGCAGACGTGGCCCTTGGCCTGCGGCCCGCACCGGCGCTCCGCTCTGCTGCCCGGGGCTTCCCCGCCCGGCCTCCCGCGCCCTTGGCTTTTCCAGCTCCTTCGAAGGAACGCCCTGTCAAAAGTGAGCAGAACAGTCTGTCATGAGTCATCTTTGGCTGGGGAAATTCACTCGTTCTCCTCTGATTCTTTCTGTCATCTCGTGCTCCGAGCAATTTCAATTAGAGGGTTACATTTCCGCAGTCTCGGCAGCTCGCGATGCCTGCTTGGCGTGACGGCAGCCTCTCGGGCTGCCTCCGGAAGCTTCACGGGTATAAAACTAATTGGAGTTTTGACGCTGTTTCACATCTCAGTAATTTTATTTTGGGGGCTTGGTGTTACTCTGCTGTCACATTAAATCAGCCTCTGCATTGTGCTCGTCGGAGCGGCGAACAGCGCCGGCACCAGCCGTGGGCTGCGGGGAAGCCGCCCGCAGCCCGCGTCCCTCCCACCCCCCGCCGGGCGAGGGGAGCTCGGCAGCCATGCCTCCGCGGCTCGGCGGACTTGGCACCGGGCGCCCGTGGCCCAGCCTCCGGCTCCGCTCTGATGGGATGACTGAGGCCCAGATGAGCGGGCCGGCCACGGGGCCGGCGTCCTGGCCACATCCAGGGGCCCGCCGGGGCAGTGTCCGGCCCCGGGGGTATTCCTAGGAAACCGAACGAGCGCGGCTCCTGGTGACTGGCCTGCCGGTGTCGCCGCCAAGAGCCCTGTGCCTGAGGCCCAGTTCGCAGAGGCCGCGGGGGGCGCTCGCTCGTGTCCCCTTGGGCCGGGATGAGCCTGCCTGACGCTCTCTCAAGCAGAGGCCGGCTCTGCCCCGGGGGGGGGGTCCTGCTGCAGAGCGGCGCCTGTGCCGGGCTTCTCTGACGGCGGGGTGGGTGGGGCGGCGCGGCAACGTGTCTCCAGCCGGTCCGGCCGGAGGGGGCCTGGGCGGGAGGGGCGAAGCAAAATCACCAGCAGTGAGTTGTTGCCATGAAGCTGAGGGGTCCAGGGGGCTCCCACTGCCTCCCCCCGAGGTCCTGGTTTGGGGGTGCCGCCATCTAGTATGTAAACGTCGTCGCATCAGACTTTAAGGTGAAGCTGGAAGCTGCTGGCCCGTGGCAGGAAGCCGTCCGTGGGGCTCGGTCCGGCCAGTCTCTGGTCAGCGGGAGAGAACCGCCTTCTGGAGCCTTCTCCGCTGTGTGGCCGCTGAGCTGGCCCCGCGCTGACCGGCCCAGGAGCTCCAGCCCTGCCCCGCGCTCGGCCCAGACGGGCTGTGGGCTGCTGGCCACACCCGCCGGCCGAGTCTCTGGCCCGCTCTCGGCCCCGGCGCGGTCCACGAGTGCACCCCCCCCCCGCCGGCGTGCACTCGTGGAGAGCTGTGTCTTGGTGAATCCAACACAGTTTTTAAAATGTATGTTGAATGACCCTGGGGGAGGTGACTATCGAAATCCGCCTCAGATGTTCCTTTTCTAATGGAGACTCCTTTTATAAAGCAACAACCAATCTCTGACTTTGTAAATCTTATTTCTTCTCGGCTTTCTTACCCAGAATGCAGTTGCAGGGCCTCATTTCAGGGACAGCATGTTTGACCCTGGGCCAGCCCAGTCTGGGTTCCTCAGCACGAACCGTCAGCCGGTCTCTGCTGCAGCTGTTCTCTGCAAGTGCCCTGTGACGGCGAAGGGCGTTTGCTTGGAATCGGGCAAACCACACTTAGCATCAGGGGTCCCCCTCCCCCCCAGGGCTGTCCCCTCGACAGCCCCTTCAGGGAAGCCAACCGGTGCCTCAGCCCTGGGGTGTCGACATGCGGCTGAGGATTCCTGGCGACACTCTGTCCCGGCGCCTGCCCTGGAGGTGACTCGTGGAAGGTGCGTGGGGCGCAGGGGGGCACCTCTCGCTGGGCCGCCCCCTCTGTTAAGCCGCCAGGCTTGTCAAGCACTGACGAGGTCCTCCTAGTGAGACGGGAGGGCGAGAACCACCCGCCGTCCTGCGAGGGCCAGGTGCTGGGCGGGCCGACGTCCTGTGAGTCACCGCCCAGGAGAATCCAGGTTTCATTCGCTAAGAGAGAAAAATGGCGGTGGGGGGCCCCTGAGTTCTTCTCAAACCCCTGGCAGTAGCCCACCGGGTGACGGCGTAAGTCACTGTCCTGCCCGAAATCGCCCCTCCGCAGCCCGGCCGGGGAGGGAAGCCTTGCAAAATCGCACCATGACCACAGCTCTTGGCACGCCAGATGAACGATGGCAGGCTCGTGCCAGTCTTCCCTTGCATTTACTTCATTACTTAGAATGTCCACATTATTCATTCTTTCCCCAGCATAGAAATTTGCATTTTGCACAAAATTTGCCTGGTGCAGCAGATTTTTATAGTTATGGAGACTGTCTTCATTATCGGGACAGGCTGTTGCACGGCTCCCCAGACTTCACTCAATCCGGCGGGAGCGATGGCCCGCCGGGCTCTGGGGCGATCATATTTCCACTGCAGCACACACAGCTGTGACTTCCCTCACTCCGGCTGTGATGTGTGTGCAGGGGACTCTGGCTTTGAAACGCAACGTCTCTGGCCACGTAAACACAACTTCTTGTCCTTATCTTTTAGAGCTCGTTACATGGAGGTGTCGGGGCCCAGGAAGTGGCACGTGGGAGGCATGTGCTCTGCCCGTTTCTCTCCCCTGCGTTTTGTTCTTCATGTGGGGATGTATGTAATTCGATCTGCAGAAGACTGGGACCACGTGGGCACGTTGCCGCCCCCCGGAGAGGGGAGCAGTCCGTCTCTGTCACTTGGAGCCCGGGGTGACGCAATGTCTCACTCGTGCGGTCAGCTGCTCAGAACTTACAGCTCTGCCGTTAGTCGTCAGGGTAGCGCTTGGCTTCTTGGTTGTTTGTTGAAAATTATTTCCTTCTTTATATGGTTACATTATTTTGTTTTGATAAAAATAAACTGAAACTGTCAACTCGTATGTGATTTGTTAACACTTTAGCCAAACCCCTGCCAGCAAAAACCTGGATCAGCCGACGTCCGGCCTTCCCCGAGGAATGACCGGGCCTGGGGTCCGCCGTTTTGGCTTCCCGGCCCACTCCGTGAAAGGCCTGGGCGTCGGGAAATGACCGCATGTCCCAGACGCCCCCCTTCACGTGATGGCTGTCCCTGGCTGCCACACGTCACAGTCTGTAGCTCCTGACTGTGTGGCTAAACTTTGAGGCCACACGAGGGCACTATCCACAGTGCAATAACCCCAAATTTCCCCCTTTGAATTAGTGTTTCTGGGATACTTAATGTTATTCGTGAACAGGGAGTATGTCCTTCCCTCGGCACGATGCCTTCTTGGGGAACAACCCGTGCGCCCTTGGCTGGAGCAGAGATGCCCCTACCAACACAACGCTCCTGCTCTCTCTGCCTCGCACAGCCCCTTGCCGTCAGCGCAGACGCCACGTGTTGGGAGAAAACGTGGGAGTGAGCAGGGAAGAAGTCAAGTAATGGGTGGATCTGATCGGGCTCTTGCCAACTCGCCAAACTCTAATATTGGTAAATAAATCTGTTGTTTCCAAACCCGACACTGGGAAGCCGCGTAAGGTGGTTTTGTTGCTCTCTGCCCACGCGGTGGTGTGTTATTTATGTAATACTTTCGCTTAGATCCTCTATCACAGCGAACCAGTTATTGTCACAAACATCTGTAAAATTTCAAACAAAACCTGGCAGCCGTGTCTGTTTTCCGACCGGGATCAAAGTCATATCCGCTGGAAAGCGGCTCATCATCCTCCGGCCGCGTCCACGCGCCCAACGTCCGTCACACAGCGAGCGGTGCCGCCCCCCGCCCGCGGGGAGAAGCCGCTGTTCCCAACGGCACACGGACTCCTTCGCCTCGAGCCGCTCTACTCCTTGCGCACAGCCCTCACCGTGCTTCTCCATGCCGGCGGAACTGAGGAGCGACAGGCTCGGCGGCGGGTTTCCTCAGTCGGAGCTTACAGTTGAGCGCTGAGTCTCCACAGCATCGCTGCGTCTTTCAGTCTCCACAGACGGGTCGCCGCGGGTCTGCCGCAGAAATGCGTAATTGTTTGGCTTCGGTGTCTCGCCGGCTGTTGGCGAGCACAGCACAGGCTCGCGGCGGGCCCCACCTGCCGATTCTGCTGGGGGGGGGCTGCTTTCCTCTGCCACGGAAGCGCGTGGGCTCATGTGGCCCGGCGGCCACGTGCGTGGCCACCCCGGCGTGGCGCCCGCCGGCGGTTCTTGGAGCCGTGAGCGCGAGGGACTCGCTCTGCGGTGTCCAGGACTCTGTCTCCAGCTGAGGCAGCTGTTTGTTTTCAGCTCCCCCCCGTTTCTGCGGGAGGCAAATCCGACACCCTTTAGATCAAGCGTCTGGGACTGACCACGCTGCAGACCGAAAGTCGGGGAACTGCTTTGGCGTAAACGCTCTAGTGGCCGGACCCCTGCAGGGAGTCGGGGCTGTGTGTGCAGCGCCGAGGCCGGCGTGCTCCAGCCCCGGCTCTGGCCGGCGGGTCCGGCCCTCTGGGGCAGTGAGGCGGCTCAGGGCGGAGGCCTCTGACGTTCGCAACCGGGACCGGCCCGCCAGGCCCCTACGGCCGGCACACGGCCCCGTACACGAGTCCCACA